TGCTGACAACACCAATCCAAGGGTTAAGATCCCCTTACCGGTCATCTTTTAAAAAAAAAAAGAAAATCTAGCTCTTATATCCACACCTATCTGTGTTTCAAGGCCCACCTGAAGTGTACCCTGCCTTTTAAAGCCTTCTTTTGCTTAGGACCACACTGATACCCTCTTCCTGTAATCACACTGTATTTACTATTATGTACCACAAAATTAGCACTTCATTAATTATCCTATTTTCTGAATGTACTATGAAATTTTAGAACTTAAGTTTGAAAACAGATAGCTAAAAGATGTTTTTTTAAAAATCACCTGTAATTCTACTGCCCAGGATAATCACTACTATTATCAGCCTGGTTGATGTATATTCTGCTAAATCTTTTTCTAGGCATATAAATCTATTTAAATAGAAATGTATCTATTTAGATAACTGCACAAGATTTTGCTTAATAAAATCAGGATGTTCTAATAGTTTTACATCATAAACTTCCTTCCATGTCATTAAATGTTCTTTGGCTATCTAGTACCACAGCTCTACCGTTCCATAACTAATTACATATTATCTGACATTTTGGTAGTTTCCAGTTATTTGCTATAATAAATAATTTATAGTTGACATCACTGAATTATCTTCCTAAGATGAATACCTAAAATCACACTGATATTGTCAGATTGTCTTTCAAATATGTCACAACTACATATTTACATTTCACTTATGTCAACACTTGAGTATTCTCATTGTTTATTTTTACCATCACATAGCAAAAATAGTATCTTGTTTCAATTGTCATTTATTTGATCACTAATACAAGTGAACAGTCTCTATTATGCTTATTAATGACAAATCTCTCTCATTATTTGATTCTGTTTGATTTCTTAGTTTGGATATTGAAGCATTTAGATACCAAATTCAGAAAGCCAAGGATACTGTACTATTCTAATCTACTAGGTTCTTTCAGGTACTGTTGTGGGTTGAATTGTGTCTTCCAAAAAGATATCTTGAAGTCTTAAATCCCAGTTCATGTGAATGTGACCTTATTCGAAAATAAGATCTTTCCAGATGTAGTTAAGTTAAAATGAGGATTAATTTGGATTAGGGTGGGCCCTAAGTCCAATGACTGGTTAACTCATAAGACAAGAGAGATTTAAAGACATAGACACACGGGGGAATGCCAAATTAGTCTATAGAGGCAAAGATTGGAATGATGTGTCTACAAGCCAAGCAACAATAAAGATTGCTGGAAACCACCAAAAGCTAGAAAGAGGCAAGGAAGGATTCTTTTCCAGAGCCTTCAGTGGGAGCATGTTCCTGCCAACACCTTGATTTCAGACTTCTAGTCTCCAAAAGTGTGAGTGAATAAATTTCTGTTTTAAGCTGCCTAATTTATGGTACTTTGCTTCAGCAGCCCTAGGAACTAATATAAATATCAAGCAGCAAGAATTCAGACAGAGAAGGATTAATATATCTACCTGGACATATTTGATTCTTGAGTTAGGTTGCTGAG